ACTCCCCGCCAGTCAGACACTTGTAGTGTTTCCCCTAGAGAAAAAGCAGGTGCATAATCCTCCTTGGAATAATTGTAGAACGGCTCTCTGATTTGGAAGCGCTGAAACCTAGAAGGTGGTCACGCTGGGACTGTAACCCGGCCACGTGACCACGGCTCTGTGCCCTGGTCCTCCCAGCTGCTTGGAGCTTTCAGGGAATTCCTTTTCCTCTTGACATGTACCAGATGAGAGCAGACTACTGTAGCCTGTTAGAAAAATGAATTCTCTTTCAGAGTAGCAGAAGCATTTCTTTAAAGCAAAGTTTCCGAAATCTGGTGAATATCTTAAACTTTCAAGTGTTATTACCTCTTGAATAATGGATTATTAAAACTAGTAAGTCACAGCTTTTAGCACATTGTAAAGCCCTGCCTTACCTTTCTTATGAATAATTAAAGATCTTACAACTTTAACGGTGACAGTTGACGAAGTTGGAGAGGTTGATTTCCTCCTTTGATGCATTAATGTTCAGACTTGAACCTTTGGTGCCTGACAAGCTTGTCTAATATATAAATCTCTTCCTAACGATGTAGTTTATCCATTAAAAGATACTACCAAACAAATCTTGGTTCTCTCATAAAATGGGAAGCTAATGCATGTGATGCTTGTTAATTTTTTTAATGCTCCTTTAATTATTGATGAATCTCTTCAATAATTGTTTATAGGTCTCTTCACCTGGACATAGCCCAGGCAGACTCACTAATAATTGCACCCAACTTGGACATGCATTCCTCATAGCTATGGCATGGGAACTGTGTAGAAGTCTGAAACAGGAGAGTGCTGAGTCCTCAGCTTCCATTAACTGCTGTGGGAATTTAGGGTATGTAGCATGGCCAAGCGCTGATGATACACAGCTATTTTATTTAGAGGGGAAAGAAATGGGGCATATCATTCAAAGGGCTTCCCCGTGCAGATCAAAGCCAATCCTGCTCTTGGTTTCTGAGATCACAATGTGTTTGTTCTGTGCTGATTGCAGACAGCACTTCTCAGTCGTGCTGTGATCTCCTGTGAGAGTTAGGGATTGTCAGACACTACAAACTTGAGGCCAGATGCACAAAAGGATTTAGGAATTGAGCATCAGGATTAGCTTGCAGGTGTCTGGCTTCTACCATGGCCTCCACAGCCTGGGGTTCAGTGCCCCACTTGCTGTAGGTAGAGCTTCATTAGGTGTGGAGATTGCTCCCAGTGCAGAGCACTCCACATGTCGGTGGTTGTTCGGGGCATTCTCCTAAAAGGCGGGAGGTGTGGGCTGGCATCCCCACAGGCTATGGGGGGCAAGGTTACTGTGTGAAAGGGGAGTAGCATCACTTCCTCTGGCCACATTGCTGTTTTGTGCAGAACCCAGTCCTGCCTGCATGCGTTAGGTATGCACCGAGCCATGGCAGGCGAGGTTCTTTGGGTAAATCCAGTGTCTGATATACCTGGGCACCATGGAGCGCTTCAGCAGGTGAATACATGATTTGAAGATCCTGATTGTGCTTAGGCATGAGACGTGCTAGTGTGTCCAGCCCTGCCGAGACGGTGTCAGTGGTTTTGAGGATGGCATTGCTGGATGTAGCCACCTAAATTCCATCTGCATCCCATTTTAGACACCTAAGGCCTTTGGGGGATTGAGGCTTGTGTGTTCACTGTGAAAATGTTGTACCACTGTGGAAATGCAGGAGAAGTAAAAAGTGCAAATAGCTAGAAACAGTCTCAAAAGAAAAATGGAAGTGACTGCCCATGTCATTGTCCAAGTGGAGCAGCAGAAAAGGGGGTGGGAGGAGACTGTTGTTTTTTTCTTTTTTGTTCTAATTTTTTTTCAGATACAGCAAATGGCAAAAACGGCTGAAAAGTATAAAGTGCAGACCTACAGTTGCTTAGTCATAATACCTGCCACCACGTTGCATCCCTTGGACCTGATTGCCCAAGTAAGAGCAGCAGAATTAGATCTGTGATCCCTAGGTGGTGGTTGTGCCTTTAGAGCTCAGAATCTCTCCCTGTTCTCTGCTGACGCTTCAAGATGGATTTTCATCGAATTAGGGGGAGATTGTATCACGTGCTTTAGGACCAGTACACTGTTTTAGAGCAAGTGCATCTAAACAGAAGTTAGCCATATTGACTAACGATGATAATGAATAGAGAAAAACCAGATAAGGAAATTGTTAGAGGAAAAGTCATTATCAAGCTTCTAAGGGAATCTCAAGCAACAGAGAATGTTTATTTAAAAAAACCCCCGCTGACTGTCTAACTGCAGCATCAATACCAAGCAGACTTGCAATCCGTAAATGGTTGTGATAGCTCGTTTTGTGCATCTTATTAAATACGTGTTTTAAAAATACTTTTAGATACCATCGCATATGTGGCCCTCCTCCTTTACCACTCCTGGCACTTCTTTATTCTGAGAGCAATATACCTGTCTCTGGAGAAAATAAAGTAACAAACATCATTTTGTATTTAACTAATGCACTAAGAGAAAAGCTATTTGGGAAAATAATTGCCCCATAGATTGTAGTGTCAAGCTTCAGTGTATTTTCTGAAACCCTCAGGAGTTATGAATCTCTCTGGTTCCAAGAGAAACTCCATAGATTTCTGCACCGTGTCTTAAATTTGTAGTTTCACTCCTTTCTCTTTTGTGCTTAGTTTTCCTGAAGGTGGCATAGACTTAAAACATTCACTAATTTAAAACATATTTTTAGTCTTTGCACATCTTTGAACAGATGTTTGTTTTATTTCCTTTTCCAACATTTCGCTGGCTCCAAAACACAGCCTGCGACCTTTGCCACTTGGAAAGAATGTCGTGAAAGAACTCCAGTCCAGTTCATTTCATTTCGCTGGGCTGAACGGTGAGCTGGGAAGCTGGCGTCGCCGAGTTCTGAGCCTAGGTCTGCCGCTGACTTGTCGGCCTTAGGAAACATGGCCTCTTCCT